CCTTCCCTTCTCCTCCTCCAATGGATCTAGAGCAGCCTGGGTTTTGGCAACAGGGAGAGCTGAGCTTTGGGCTGGCCCCTGGCAACAGCAAGACCTGCTTATTAAGAGACGGTGTACAGGGTTTGGTTTTTACTCTGGGTAAGGTAACACGCAGTGCTGCTGCCTGTCCAGCACAACCTCTCACTGCTCAGGACATTGTCTGTGTTTTCTGCAGCAAGAAGTAAAAAAAAAGGATTTTTTTCAAGGGAGTTAAGTGGATTGCTCAGCCGTGGGTGGGGAAGCGAGGGATGGTACGAGGGCTCGGCTGTTCCAGCTTTTCTGCAGAAATCGCTGAGCGACACTTGTGTCTTCTGCACGGTGGTGTAATGTTGTGTGAGAGGAACCACCTGCCTGGCAGACCTGGAGCTGGTTCGAGGTCCTGCACAAAGGCTTTTCCAGCTTGTGTGGCTTTATAGGACAGCACTAAAATGGGAGAGCAGGGAGGTTATGGCCGCAGGCCTGAAATGCCGGCTGTAATTTCAATTTCAGCTGACAAGTCCTACCTTGTGAACAAATATGCACATGGCGTCAGCAGTGCCAGCCCTGCAGTTCCCATCTCTGCCCGAGATGCTGCCGGCACTGGAGCACGGCTTTGCTTTGGGCAAGTTCGCTGGCAGTCCAGACCTGCGGTCAGGTCTGGTGTGGAGATACGGGGATGGGTCAAGGAGATTTTAAACGCACCATCTTACGTCAGCCCCTGCTACGTGGTGACGGCTCAGCCATGGTTTCTGCCTGCCCTGTGGGGGGAAGAGTCTCATCCTCTTTCGCCACGTTGGTGTTAAACCCTGTTTGGGGATGTGCCAAGCCCCTCCCTGCTCCGTTGCTTTGCGGCTGCTGTCGCGGTGGGGATGAGGTGCAGGCAGGCAGCGTGCCTGCAGGGCAGCCTTCAGAGCAGCTGTAGCGGTCGGCAGCCACTTGTAGTCAAAAGTATGACTAAATTAATCCAAGTTTTCCCATTCCTCACTTGCATCTTTGCTCCTCCTCCTTTTCCCCACGTTGGACCAGAATTGTCAATGTTATCCAACTTTCAGCATCCCCAAAGCTGGAACATCTGGTTTGCCTCTTTGCCTCTCCGCTGCTTGTCCATCTGTTGGTACCTCTGTGTTTTGAGCACTTCTGAGTTGCTTTGCCAACTGGAGAGAAACTAAATCTCAGCTAATCCACCGGTCTCGCTGAAGACAAACACAGGGAAGGCTGGCAGCTGTTGGGGTGGACGTAATAGAGCGATTATTTAAAACCCCCTCCAGGGGTTCTAGGCTAACGCCACACACCCAGGGCAGTCTCTTGCAGGCTCAGAACACCAGGGGAAGCTAGCTTTAAGAAACTCCACTTATTTTTCTCATGCTCATTCCATTTGTCTTGGTGATGGCAAGAACCTTGTCCCTTTGGCCTTGCGTGGGAAGCGGAGAGCTGTTAGCCAGCTTCTGCAGATGTTCGGCAGATGTTTGTGACAGAGGAAGGGGCAAAGCTGTCTGGAAGGGTTAGACCTTTCTGCCATGTGTGCTGGTCCAAAGTAGGGGTTTAGCAAATGAAAGCTGACCAAAAAAATCCTCCTCCTTTCTTAGCTACTCACGTTTAATGCTTGTGTTAACATTCTACTTGTGTGGTTGTCAGTGGAAACAGTAAAGACAAATGTAGAAGTTTAGATTCTTTTGTGTAACAGAAAATCAGAAACATGCTTCAGTTTGCCTTTTTCTCTGTAAGTAACCAAGGACGACTCCAAAATCTAATTATATACTTCTCTTGGCAAATCATTGTTATAAATGAATTGGAGTCAGAAGGAGGTACCTAGTTCTCACATTTCTTTCCTCAGAATGCAGTATTTGTGTGGTAAGGTACCAAATGGATGCTGAGAAAGCAGCAGGCTGCAGACTTTGTTCAAACTTTTCAAACCCAATTCAGAATCTTTATTGAAAAAAAAAATAAATCACAGCATCTCAACTGTTATTCAAACACATTTAATAAACAAAGAGAAACAGTAGCAAAGGGCACTGACACATGACAAACTGTACAAAACCTCCAGGTTTGCAGGCAAAACCCAAGGGGAGGAGCCCACGGCCCAGCTGCAGGACTGGGGAGCTGCTCCGTCTCATCGCCCTGCAGCCAACCATGCCCCCTTTGCCTCAGCCCACTCAGTCACCCCTGAGAAAAATCGATTTTTAAAAATGTGCAGAAACAAAGACACTTTAAGAGGTTATTTCCAGTCTTGCCATAATGGAACAATTTAGGCCACTGGGAAAGTTTAAAAAAAAGAACCCAAAGTGTCATACTCTCTGTTCCCAGGACTAATGATTTAAAGTGAACTTACCCAAGAGGCACGAGCACCCTCGGCTATCCAGTGGATCTACCCTTGCTCACCTACTCTACTCACCACAACATGCTACCTTTTTTAGAGTGAATGGGACAAATTTTGTTGTTAATTCAGTGCTAGTTTTGATATAGTTGTGACTGAGTGAAAGGCAATGGAAGGAAAAGCCCTGTCTTGAGCACAGAAGGGATGCAACTGGTGCATAATGCTGAGACCAGCCTTGGTCTCAGGGTGAAGGTGACAATAGCACAGTCAGGAAAGGAGAAATCCTCCTCTGGGAATGTACCTGCTCTGGATGGACTGCATGCCTGGTCCTAAATATTGCCCAAGAACTCAAGTGTCCAGTACCAATGATTGGTTTTCTACCATAAACCTGTTCTGTTGAACGTAAAGACCCTGCAATCAAACCCGAAGAGTCTTCAGTCCCCTGGCATGTCGTTGCTGCAGAGAGCAGCACGGAGGGAAAACCAAGATGCAACTTGGATAGTCTTCCTTGTGCATGTGAGTTCAATAGCTGTTCTACTCAACCAGTAACGGTGGGTTTTAGGCTCTCTGTGGTTCAGAGGGGAGAGTGATGACATCACTCTTGCATCAGGCAATCCTCCGGTGGGCTTCACCACATACGGCATTTTTGGTGATACAAAAAAAGCAACGAGGTATCGTTTTTATCTACTTGAGCTGTACTGGACAGAAAGTCTCCCTTTGCAACTAGCGTTGCTATGAGCTCTGTGGTTCCAACAGCAAGGTGCTTGGCTGGCATCAACGTGACAAAGCAGCTCCACCAGTTCCTGTTGCCTTTAGTTTGATATTTCTTGACCAGTTCCCAGAAACTCCCTCCTCTGAGGAAGGGAAAGAAGACAAGTGAGAGTGTTAAAGGGCTTTCGAGGCTGCTAACTTGTATACATGCGCTTCTCGATTTCTTAGCTGCGAGCACAGATGGATGATGACTGAGGCTACAAGATACTGACAGAGGAGAGATATCTATACACATCACAGTGTTATTTAGGCCCAGCCAAGGCAGACGGTCTAATCACACCAATTCCATCTCACCGCGTTATAAACAGGGAAGAAGAAGAGCTGGGTTCTTCAGCGTGATGAAAAGCCAGCTGCGTTTCAACAGCCCACAACTGACACAATGTGAATTCAAAGACATTTGGCACAGTCTGTTGTTACCAGGATTAAACTAGCACAAATAATTAACCAGTCTTTCTTGAGAATGAGGCAAAGCCTCCACCAGAGGAGGTACGTTGGCAAAGCAGGGTGGGAGAGGACAGGCAAGAGTACGTACAGGAGAACTGGAGAGAGGCAGGGAGTGCAGCGGTGTCGCTCAGTCTTTGCTGCGCGGTTTGTTTGCTGAACTGGTTGATGGACCGTTGGTAACATTCTGCTACTGCAAGGCCCTGTCAGCAACAAGTGATAAGATGAGAAACCTGCCTAATTCTATCTCAAAACTTTAAGGAGACCACAGGTAGCTGAATTCCTCCAGAAAGAAGCCCACCTCCTCAGTCCAGTTGAGGAATTTTCTGATACCTTAGAGAAACATCTGCTCTGAGCTTGTCAATGTCTGAATTCTAGCATCTCTGAAGCTTTGCGTTTAATGTCAGTTTGGGACTTGACTCAAAAAGACCCAAGTGCCTGGACACCTGGGCTACAAAGAACAAAGCCAGGATGAAAGGGGAAAAACATGCAGCAAATTCCTAAGAAATTCCATTTACCAAACTAGGAGGGACACGCCCTTGGTTAGGGATGGCACAGAGGGGAACCAGTGACTGCAGTTTGGCTAAGATTAGAATTCGAGAGAGGCACAAACGAACATTTTGCACATCCATCCAAGGCATTCAAAAAAAAAAAAAAAGTCACAGAAGTCAACACATCACTTTGGACGAGAAACATTACAACAGTTTGGCAACTTTTCACCAAACCCCCCCCACCCCAATTCTGTGATGCCCTCTGTAATTTGACGTGATCTCTTAAAGGTGGGGACACGAGGGGGCTGCAGATAAATCACTGCAGATAAATAGGGAATCTCCTCCGCAAGGGATCTCATGGGTTAAAACAAACCTACTTGCTTGCTACAGTACAAAAGAAATTCTGCCTGAAGTCCTCCCTTAGTGGGAGGGAAGGAGACAGAGCCCGCGCTGCTGGAGACAAACAAGGCAAAGCTGAACTTGGCAGCAACGAGTCCCTAACCTTGTGACTTTGCACCAGGCTAAGATATGGCCATGGCAGGGTACTGGAGGGGAAGATGTCACCACGCTTCCTCAGTAGGTAAGTGTAAAGGACACTATCACTCTATCGCTATTCTGGGTGCACACAGGTCTCTTTGTTTATGCATGCAAAGTAATGAGCTTTGGAAAATGCCAGGAGCCCGTATGTAATAGCGTTAACAGTGAGACCCACATTAGGTGTACGTACAACTCTGCTCCCCTTAGTATCTGAACTCAGCTCTTGGGAACTGAACAAGGAACAAATACAAAGCAAGAATGAAAAAAGGTTGCGTGGGGTTTTTTTACGAGTGGTTGTTTTGTCCCTCCTTTTAAAGCCCTGTTCTGATCTGGGGGGGCTGGCTGGTCAGGAGGGGGAGCACAGCAAGGTCCCTCTGCTTTTCTGAGTGGCACACCTGGGTGCAAGAAATGGCACAGCTCAAATACTGATCTTCCCACCCACGCCAGCCTGTGGAAAATGGGACTGATGACACGGGCCGGTGAACCTGAGCAACCTTCACAAAGGCTCCGACTGGGAATCCAGCCCAGCTGTTGTCTGAAAAATTCAATACAGCGCTGGCCAAGAAAATAAAACAAATACTTATGGAAAGGACTATCCAACTGGAAGAGTCTTTTCCTTCCTTGGTTTCCAGGGTAAGAGGGAAGCCTTTGGTTATGACCAGAATTATTCACCATTGGCAGGACAGGCTCGGCTTTGCTTTGCATTAGCTTGGTTACTGTACAAGGGCAAGGTTGCACTGCGGAGAGACGCTCTGCCCAGCTAGACTGCCCTTCTGACATCTGGGAGCTTTAACGGCGGAGCAGACACTTGAATTACATCCGGGATCCTCGCTCTTGAAGAATCTGAAAAAGAAGAGAGCTTCTATAAATACCTTGGACAAGTTTAGCTGCAAAAGTTCATGTTCAGAGTCTTTTTGCAGAGACAGGAAAGTGGCCTAACATGAGAGTAGCTTGCTGGCTTTTATGCTACCATAACAAATGATGGGCTGGCTAAAGCTGACTGAGCTCCTTTTCTAGAAATTCTGCTCAGCTGCCTGCCAGGAGGTAAGAATGTTGTTGTTTGTGGCTATCCTGGGGGGGAAAAAAAAAAAAAGAGTGGATTGAAAGAGCAAAAAAAAAAAAGCTTGTTTCTCCCTGCAATATCAATCAATCTCAATGATCAATCTCAACGGTCCTTGCTATGCTGTCCTCCTTTTTCAAGTCTCTTTCCTCCAATTTTTTTGTCTTAATTTGAAACGTACAAAGAGCCTTAGCTCTTGTCCTGCAGTAAAACAGGAAATCTTTCAAGAGAGGAAGATCACACATACAGGAGGAAGTAGGAAAGCTGGTACACAGAACTGCTACCACAAATTATGGATCCGCTAGTGTAAGAAGGGTTTTTTCTTTGCATAGGGGAACTCAAGTCAATAGATCTGAGCAGATGCCTTACCTTTGCCTTCTCGCTGGGCTCCTTGACAATGCCATTGGTAGAATTGTTGAGCTCCCTGGACACAACACAGAGGAATTCTGCCTGGTCTTCGTTTCCATAGTTATAGGAAGATCCAATGCTGATTAACTGTGCAACAAGAGACAGCCAAGGTAACTATCAGTCAGTCCTGACTTTTGCTTTACTCCTACAATTGCTCAGTGAGGTATGACTGCCTGGTGATGCCTGTTCTGCACCCGAAGTGCATCCCTGCAGCCTCCTGGGTCACAGGCTTTGCCGTGTGTGAGGCAGCCACACAGCCGAGCTCCAGAGCCCTCTACTGGCACCTGAGCCCCGGGAAGAAATTCCAGCCTGAAACGGTAACGCTGAACACAACAGAACGTTTTCCAATTACCGAGGGCAGAAAAAGGAAAACCATGCCAGATTTTGCAGTATATAATATCCAGCTAATTCAGATATGGGACAGGCAATGCAGACTTCCCGGTCCAGACTACACTGAACTCTGCTCTCAACTTGCCTTTTCACTTTGATGTGTAAAAACCGGAAAGGCAATTCTTTACCACAGGCAGATGTTAGATTAACTAGAGGACATGTGGCAAACTGGCACCATTCTTTATGTAGATGCTGTCAAGACAGAGTTTGATATCTGTATAAATGGGATTATATTCTATTACTGTTGTGATGAGGGGTCTGGACTCGAGCCAAGAAATCCCATCTGTCTCATTTATCACTATTACATTAAAAGGACATCCTGGAGTACAGAGCTAATTTGTCATTTACAACTCAGTTCTGCTTTCCAGACAATAAATCTAAGTAATCTGTAGAAAGCAATATGAATCTTCTCAACTGTGTATATCTAGGAAACTTTAATATGCAGCGTGCACCCTAACTTCCATGTCCTAATGGCTTTTAGAAAAGACAGCTCCATATTTGAATATGAGACAGATGCAGCCAACAGCCTTCCCAGACAGATGACAATATGGTTACAGTGCAGCTGCAGGAAGACTTGGGGACTGTTGTACCGACAGACCTCCAGTACAGCTTTAAATAAGTTTTGATATTTGTGCTGAGGGCAAAAGGTAAGACACAGGATAAAAAAGGTTTGTTTTTTTTCCTTTTGCTTCCCTGCTCCCTGCCTTGACTGTTTAGGCTCTTGGATATTTCAATACCACACACCACTACTTACTCAACAAAGTATCTTTTGATGAAGATAGAAATTTTCCAGACTGCTGAACTGTAGGTGGACAGGAGAATGAATTTGTTTAAAATACCAGATTTCTATTTCATCGTTAATTTAAGGAGGATTGAATGGTACAAGGCAGAGGACCTGACAGGCCACATGCTCCTCCGAGAACCCAAGCCTGCCAGACAATAAGGCTGCAACAGCTTTTACCACTTCTGGATTTCCTGCAAGTTTCTGAACACTCTTTTGGATGTTACAAAATGACTGGATCCAAGGAGCCCACAAAGGGAATGTCTGCTCTGTTCAATCCCTGGCACCCGGGCTAAGATTTAGCAACAGGCTCTCTTTGCCCTCAATATGTAGGTCTGTTGCCGTATTTCCTAACGTGTCTCAGCATGCCAAGTGGTGTGATTTGGGGGAGGGTAGCAGCCATGCTGGGTTGCACATCTGGGAAAAGACCTTGGCAATAGGCTGCAGCTACAATGTGCCTCCCAAAGGGCCCGTTTCAGCACGGGACGCATCCTGTGCTGCACCACTGCTCTGGAACCCAGCCTGGACCATCTCACAGCTGGAGAGAGGCTGTACAAGGTCTAGCCTCCATCAAAGCATCGTGTCTGTCTGTCCTGTTTAGGCTTGCTGCCCTTGGGGGTGTTTGAGCTGAATGCAAGTCCCAGGGGAGGGCAAGAACAGTTCCTGATGGTGGGAGTGTGCTGGAGTGGGATCTGCAGGAAATTTTCCTGGTGCTTGCAGTGTACGGGAAGGAGGAGGCTGGCAGGGATCTCTGTTGTTTGTGCAAAGATTGTGGTTGGCAGAGGGAGGGAACAGAAAGGGAACGCGCTAGCATTTGCTTGGAACCAGTATCTTGACCCTATCGTTACAGATTTGAAAAGCAAGACTAGGAAAGAGGTAAGCATGCAGATGCCTGTGTAGGCACTGCCTATAGCCTTTTGGTTTTGGGGGTGTATATGCATATGTGTGACAGGCAACATCTGTTAAGTACATTTTCAGACAGCAAAACCTGGTTGTTGCATTTCCATAAAGCAGCTAGTGGCTCTTGGTCACAAGATTTCACTACTGGCTTACAGGGGCAAGAGGGTTTTTTTGCTGCCTCTCCACTACGCAGTAGGAGTTTTCAGCCATTACAGAACAGGTATATATGAACAAGTGATGCAAAGTGCTGTTGCCAATCCTATGCCTCGCTTTGTGTCAGCATGTTTCCCACAACATCCACTTGTACTGAAGCTGGACTAATTGGCAAGACAGCAGAGCTGTAATCCACAGAGCCTATTCTGCAGTTTCTTAATATGGTGTTAACATGCAGGCCAGCTGGTTTCCAGTTCTCTGTCCTCCTAAGAGGCCTGTAGCTGATTCCAGAAACCAAATTTGGAACCAGTGCCATATGTGACTTCAGTGACACCTAGCCCTGAAACTGGCTGCGTTACAAAAGAATCTGCAGGAAGTGTATTTCTCATGTCACTCAGTGCCTCTTTAGCAAATGCAGGAGTCATGGCTTTCAGCTTCCAGAAAAGTCGTGCTGTGTTCCTTCATAGCTCTATTAATTTTCCTGGATAAAACTGTTGTACTGGGGCCTGGTATATGCGATGAAATGCAGAAGGGAAGAATTGCTCTCGGATCTGACAAGGATACAAGAAGTCCTGAGAGAAAATGAAATCTCTTTTGGCAGTTTGACTGAATTCTGCCTTTCCCTGTCGGTTATTCTACACAAGTGGGCTGTTGCTCGGTTCAGACTGCTTCTTCAGAAGAGCTGAGCAGTGTGAAGTGTAATTCAAGAGCAAACTCTGCTTATTGCATATGCAGCTTTCAAAGGGATTCTGCTGTTCTTTGGTAACGGTACCTGTTCGAATTTCCACCCATCGGACATAGTGGACACCATCTGTGTGAGCTCTTCCTCTTGGCACTGCAGGACTCTGTACACGTGCTTCACAGGTCCCTAAAGCGTGAAGAATAAAAATAAGTGTGACTTTAGTAATTATTATACTAGTATCAAGCTAGGAAATTAATTAGCCTCTCGTGGGGGTCTCCTGCTCTATCGTCTTGTTATCCAAGGAAGTCTGAGCCCCACAGATGTTCTGAGGTTTCATCCTTCTGACCACCCAACCAATTATAAAACCGGTAGATATGGTTGGCACACTTCTCTTAAAAGCCTTCTAGTCATCTAAGGGCCAGTGAAAGCAAAAAAACTTCTTTGGCTTTCAAAGCCATTTACCGCTTTTTGAATTTGTCTTCTAAAACTGAATCTACCGGGTGTGTTAGTATCAGCTGAGCAGCAATGGGAAAAATTGCCACAGACAGAGATACAAAGGGAAGAAAATGGTTTAGAGAAGGAAGAGTTTGAACTATTCTTTACATACCAAAGCAGCACGTTTTGCTTTGTAACTACCTCTTTGCTCCTGGCCCCTCTAGTTTAACTGTTCATTGTCTTTCCCTGCAGTGCTAACAAGACTACTCGGTGGTCTGTGCTTATAAAACCATACTGGATACTCTTTCCTAGCTGTGCCCTGCATCTACCTACATCCCTCATTTCCCCCTGTTAAAGATGACTACCAAACCAAAGAACTGCCGCTAGAAGTGTCTGCAACAGCCACATGCCGCCTCCTGCTACGCTACAGAAAATGACCAACTTCATAATGCAAATGTTCCTGTGCATTACTTGAGAGGTTCTGTTCTCGTTGTCCCGTATCCGTTCCTTCACCAGCCGCACAAGAGATGCAATATTGTAAAACTCGGCTTCTTCCAGTACCCCTAGGAAAGGAACCAGAATCAGAGAGAAACTGTTACTTTGTACAGGCTAGAATGAAGATGATTCTGCTACAAGGATGCAACACCTGCTCCTGACTCCAAATCTAACCCAGATGTCAGAAAATCCCCAAATACTGAATAGACTGATCTTTAAGAAAGATTGTTCCCCTTTTCCCGGGATCATCAGAAACCTCGTGGTACAATCCCTATTTTGTTTGCACAGCCCCATTAGGGCATAGTCACCAAAGCTGCCTGCTTGTGGAGAACTGCTGCCTGGGGAGGGAGAGAAGTTGTTCTAACAGACCTTTTGCTCTGCTGACATAAGCCTTGAGCTAAGCAGAACAGCGCTGGGTTGTGTTGTAAGCTGCAGGCCTCTGCTTCCAGGAAGATACAGAACCTAATGATTTAATCCTTGTTGATGAGCAGCCTTCTGAGAAACTAATGGTACTAACAGCACTACTACGGCTTGCTCACACCCTTACACACCACCACGTCAGGAACCCCGTGCGCTCAGGGAAGTTTCTGATGATGGCACCCGGTTGCTGCTGTCAAACAGCGCTTGCTGTTCTCACCCCGTATTCTTCTCTTACCTTCTTCTGCAAGCTCCTTGTTTATGATGAGCTTCCCGTGTCGGAGGTAGTTCAGTATTGGACCAAAATACGTGGGGTCTCTATCGATAAGATACGCCCCTGTCTCATCCTATTGAGTGTGTACAGGAATGAAACAAGGATGGGTAATTGGTACCAGGAAAAAAATAATTTCAGTTGAAAACAATAAACTGAACAGTTTCTCTTTGAGAACCTGGATTCATTTGCCTGTGAAAGGTGTACTAACAACTCCACATTTAAACCAACTTTTTTTTTTTCCCCAGTATCTGAACTCAGCTGCAAATGTTGCAGCTCAATAACGCTAGCAGGTTCAAATGAAGCACTTCTACGAACAGAGTGTACATACCCGGAGAGAAAAGCAGGGCTTCACTGTAATAATAAAACCCAAAAGCTGGCAGTTGTCTTCTGTCTAGATTTGTTTTCCAGACTAGTTTTACTAGGAGACTCTAGAGGAAAACCGAATCTCCAGTTCTAGCTAACAGCACATGATAGTTTTAGTAGCTCTCTTTTTCTTCTTTCTACTACTGAAAATGCACATTGCAGTGCACCAGCTGTGTCTCTAGCGCTACAATAACTATTGTCATCAAATAACCAACAATTCACAACAAAAAGCATCTCTTGAGCCAGACAGGAAATGCTGACAAAGCCTGTCCAGAAGTCTGTCATATCACTCCCTTAAATCACTTTAAAGCAACATTTGTCCTGCCAATCAGTCTGCTCTAAAGCAAGTAAAAACTGTGACAAACTGTTCTGAAATGTCATCTCCTTAAGTCACTGATGCTGGTGACTTCTATTTTGATCACAACCAGGATTTATCTTTTGATTAAACTCTGACAAAATGACAAGACACCCGACTAATTCTCAGTCTGACCTACCCACAAAATATTTACAAAACCTTGTGCAGCAGATCCTACAGAAAACCTAAAATTACAACAGTAACTGTTTACAGAATCCTTACGATAGACTGCAACGGCTTCAAAACTATCCACCTGCGTAAGGAACGTGCACTGTGATCTTTTATGAGGGCAGCGGTGCCTGCAGCACCAGGGTGTTACAGAGTGGCGGGCTCCCCCCCGTTCTTGGGGACGCGACCAAATCTGTGGCCGTGTAACGGGACACAAGGGACGAGGACTTGGCGTCTGTCAGAGCAATGTGTAGCCCCGGGGACCGTGGCAGCTGGGGCTGCCGTGGAGATCGGTCCACCCACGCCGCAGGTCAGGGGCTGCCGGGGCTGTAGAGCAGCGTTGGGGGTGCTGGCCCCGGGGACACCGGCAGCGGGGGCTGTCACCCTGCCCGTGCAGCAGGTCGGGGCG